ATAGATAGATAGATAGATAGATAGATAGATAGATAGATAGATAGATAAAGGGCTTCATGCTGTTCTTGGGCTTTTTTTTGTTGTTGTTGCAGGGTTATGGTTGGGGTTTAAATCCTGCCACTAGGGAGCAGCACACACCTGTTGAAAAATACATTAAAAAATATCAGAGTCAGAGTCAGAGTCAGAGTTTCTTTATTGTCATTCGCACCTCATGTGGTACATGTGGTGGAGCGAAATTATGTACACAGGGTCCCAGTTACATCCAACAATAAAATGTATAAGAAAAACAGTAATAACATCTAAGATATGAACTAAGAAAAACATCAACTAAATATACACCAAGCACTCATAACATAAAACATTGAACATCAGCACAAACATGAACGAGTCTGTGAGCAGATGTGCACGCATGAACACATCAACATTGAAACAGATCAGCAGCAACATGAAACAGATCAGCAGCAACATGATATGGTTTTTCACAGTGATTATTCTAGTTAGAGATTCATGAGTCTAACAGCCTCAGGGTAGAAGCTGTTCCTCAGTCTAGTGGTTCTACACTTAATGCTCCTTAACCTCCTTCCTGAGGGGAGTGGGGCAAAAAGTGTGTGTGCTGGGTGGGTGGGGTCCTTCATGATGCAGGTGGCCCTCTTCCTGCATCTGGAGGTGTAGATGTCTGTGATGGTGGGGAGGCTGATTCCAACAGATTTCTGTGCAGCCTTCACCACTCTCTGCAAAGCTTTTCTTTCTGCAGCTGTGCAGCCTCCATGCCACACATTGATGCTCGAGCACAGGATGCTCTCCACTGCACACCTGTAGAAGGAGGTGAGGACTGAGCTTCCCAGACCAGCTCGCCTCAGCCGTCTGAGGAAGTAGAGTCTCTGATGAGCTTTCTTGATCAGGCTGGTGGTGTTGTTGCTCCAGCTGAGGTTGTCATTCATGTGTACACCCAAGTACTTGTAGCTGGAGACCACTTCCACCGCAGATCCTCTTATGTTCAGGGGGGTGTAGGTGTTTTTGTTCCTTCTGAAGTCCACAATCATCTCCTTTGTCTTCTTCACATTGATGTGAAGGTTATTTTCTCTGCACCAGCTCTCCAGGTGTTCCACCTCCTGCCTGTAGCTGGACTCATCATTGTTTGTGATGCATCCCACCACCGCTGTATCATCTGCAAACTTTACAATGTGACAGCCTGGATGGGTAGCTGCACAATCATATGTGAGCAGAGTAAACAGGAGGGGGCTCAACACACATCCCTGAGGAGAGCCAGTGCTGAGGGTTATGGTGGAGGAGGAGAGGTTGTGGATCCTCACTAACTGTGGTCTGTTTGTTAAAAAGTCTAGTACCCAGTTGCAGATGGAGGGGCTTAGTCCTAGTGTGGATAGTTTGTCCATCAGGGTTTGGGGGATCATGGTGTTGAAGGCGGATGTGAAGTCCACAAAGAGCATACGGACGTAAGAGTTTTTCTGCTCCAGGTGGTTGAGCGCAGTGTGGACCACAGAGGAGATTGCATCCTCTGTTGATCGGTTCTCACGGTATGCGTGCTGATGAGGGTCCTCGTTGATGTTGATGGTTGTTTTGATGTGAGTCATGACCAGTTTTTCGAAGCATTTAGCAACTATCGGGGTGAGGGCCACTGGCCGATAGTCATTCAGACCAGTCACTGTAGAGCTTTTTGGGACTGGGATGATGGTGGCAGTCTTCAGGCAGGTGGGAACTGTCTCCAGGGTAAGGGAGGTGTTAAAGATGTCTGCCAGCACCTCACAGAGCTGATCAGCACATTCCTTCAACACTTTTCCGGGGATGTTGTCTGGGCCAGTTGCTTTGTGCGGATTAATCCTCCTGAAGGTACTCCTTACTTCTGCTGAGGTCACGCTGAGATGCTCTTCATCCGGTGGCGAGGTGAGTCTGGTGCTGGGTGGTCTGTTCGGGTCTTCAAAGCGTGCATAGAACTTGTTGAGGGCATCAGGCAGAGATGGGTCTTTGGGACATTGTTCGCTCCTTCCTTTATAATCTGTTATGCACTTAATGCCCCTCCACATGCTCCGAGGGTCTTGTGAGATGAACTGACCCTCGATCCTCTTTGCATATGTGGCCTTGGCCCTCTTAATACCAGCAACCAGCTCTTTTCTTGTCCTACTCAGCTCCTCTGAGTTTCCAGACCTGAAGGCAGTGTTCCTGGCTTCCAGCAGGGTACGCACCTCTGCATTCAGCCAAGGTTTTCTGTTTGGGTAGCTTTTAACATTTCTGATAGTGGAGACGGTGTCAGTACATGTACTAATGTAACCCAGTACTGAGGATGTGTATTGGTCAATATCAAGCGAACCTCCATTTTCAGCAGCTTCTCTGAAAACCTGCCAGTCTGTTCGAAATATCCATCCATCCATCCATCCATTATCTTTTACCATCCATTATCTTTTACCATCCATTATCTTTTACCATCCATTATCTTTTACCCGCTTCTTCCATTTTGAGTCACGGGAGTCGCTGGTGCAAAGCTCCGGCAATCACTGTGCGAGGGGCGGAGTACACACTGGACGGGTCGCAAGTCCATAAAAAATATATATTTACTTATTTTAATTTTTGTTTTGATCATGGTTAAGGTTTTTATATTACCATTAACATGATGACCAAACGTCAGAATGCTGGGAAGAAAAAAAAACCTCTATGCATGTCTTCTTAAGTTCAAGAACAAGATTACTTCACCTAAGTGGTACAGATTTAAGAGCTTATTTATCAAGCACTATAAATGTACCAGTAGTTGATTTTAACATTTGATAATGCAATAAATATTTAAAAATGAACCAGTACATACCAAACCTCATTTAAATATCAAACTGGTGGCACTTACGAGTCCTGGCTTTGCCCACGAGCGGTGTGCTTCTCAAAGCGTTCTGCAGCGCTACAATCTTAATGACATACTCTGTGCCAGGTTTCAGGCCTAAAATCAAACAAACAACGCACAAGAAAATAGTTAAACAATTATCTCTTTTAGTAAAACTAATGATTATATTATATTTTTACTCATGAACACTCACCACTGATTGTAGCGTAGCTCTGGCTTGCGTGAGGTCTAGGAGTGGCTTCTCGAGGCAAACCTCCAGCTTCCTCATAGGTGACATAATAACCAGTGACCTTTGGGCTGAGAGAAGGCTCCCACATAAATGAGATGCTGTTAGGATTCAGGGAGGTGAAGCGGATATTGGTGGGTGGGATGACCACTGGTTGAGCTGGAAGAGAAACAAGCAAATCATTACTCAAGAGAATACACTGAATCCATGTTATTTAGAACAACACGATAAGATAAACAGCAGATATAATCACACTATTCTCGCTCAGAAACATGATACTGAAATACCATTGCAAATTGTTATTTTTGTTTCCCCATACATCTTTCCTGAGGCTTTTTGTGCATTTAAAATATGCAAAATCTTCATTTTTATTGTTTGATAATGAGCTAAATATCAATGATGTAAATAAAATGCCAACTTGGACATTGTTCTTTTCAACTTTCTATCTACCCAGACAAAGACTGCAGACAGAGCGGTAAGAGTACAGACAGGGATGAGGTGCATCGTGATAACATACATGCTCCTTTGAAACAAACATTGTGAGAAGTGAAGCATTAGATGAGGTCTCATTATCATTATTTTACATGCTCAATTTGACGATGTAGGAAAAATAATGTGTTGCATGCATTTTATGTAACTGTCAAATAAGTTCAAAAGGTCATTTCTGCCTGTTGCATTACTCTTTCACAATTACTCTCTTCAATAACTATTCATTTTTTAATCAATTTAATTTCATGTAATAATTATTGTTTATAATAGATTTTTAATGCAACACTAAAATTTTACTTCAGGATGAAACATAATCAAATTTAAATGTAAATTTGATTATATATATCTATCTATCTATCTATATATATATAGGTGTATATATATATATATAGCTATATATATACACACTTTTTTTTCCATGTTTGAGTCGTTCACACTTATTAAATCTATCATTATTTCCACATGTCATACTTTATAGGACTTTACAGATGAGACAATATATTAATATGGAAACTTTGTTTTCCTGTAAATATGTTCATGTATCTTTATTGTCATTTGCATCACATGCGGTACATGAGGTGGAATGAAATTGTGTACTCAAGGTCCCAGTTACACCCAAAATAGCACAAATATAAAGCATAAAAAGACTCGTATATAAAGATCTAAGATATACGCTAAACAAACGGTGAACATCTAAGATGTACAATAAACACTAATATTGTAAATCATTAAAACAGCAGCCCAAACATGAATGCAGCAGCATAAAGGCTAGAGATCAGCAAAATGGATAAATATGGCTAAATATGCACCATCCCAGATGAATATACATGAGTAAAGTATGCGTACTCAGTACTTCAGTAAAAAGTGTGATATTACCTGTGGTGGCGGTGAGTGTGAACGGTATGCTGCGTCCACTGCCCTTCAGTGTATAGAGATTGATCTTGTAAGTGGTGCCAGGCTCCAGACCTTATACGCAAATACAGAAAAGTTCATGTTTTTATTGTTATTTTCTTTTTTTGTCTTTAAGTATTAAAGCATGACAAAAAGGTGGTGAATGATTGATTATCTAGCTTCTTTATTGGTCTGTTGTATTGTATTGGACCGCTAATATTTCCCTACCTGTAATAGAGTAAGAGCGCAAGTCGGAGCTGACAGTCTTTTGAATAGGTTTGTAGCTTGGAGAAGAGGAAGTGGGTGTGACTTCAATCAGGAACCCAGAGATGGTATTGGTTTTCGATCGCCAAGTAAGAGTGATGGATGAATCCTTAAGATCAGAGATGCGTACGCGTCGAGGAGGGCTGATATCTTCATATTGATGAGCAACAGAACAAAGAACTATGAGTAGCAGGAAAGAAGTTATACCAAAACTGTGCATCAAGTTTTATAAAATAAAGACTTACTCTCCAGAGTCGTGACCTCTCCTTGGACTGGTCTGCTGGTCAGAGTGTTCTTCAGTGCGTAAACATAGACTTCATAAGTTGTTGCAATCTGATGGAGATACAAGAAGTTAAGAAGACGAGAAAAACACTGATAAGTTTTGAATTCAAGTGGATTTCATTCATTTACCATGAGTCCAGAGATGTGTGCCTGGGTGGCATCTGGAGCCAGGTTGATCTCTTTGGTTGGTCCACTTGTGTTCTTTGGGTTCACCACCACACGGTACCCAGTGAGACTTGTGAGGCCAGTTATTTGATTTTCCTGACCTGGTGCCAACCAGTGCATCAAAAATGAGGTGGGACCAACTTGGGTGAATTTAAGGTTAGAGGGAGGAGAGATAGCTGAAAAAAAAAAGAGAATTAGTAAGAAACAGGACTTTTTTTTTTACACAGTTTCTGTTCTTTGACACATGAAGAGCCATCATCCGGTAAAAATCCCATTTACTGGTACAGAAAAGTTAGGCAACACAGGTTTTGTACCAGCTTTAACCAACCAAATAACCCAGGTGTAAAGCTTTAATTACCTGTAACTTGTGTCCCAATCAGTGGTGTACTGGCTGTACCATCGTGCACGGCAATGACTTTAACGGAGTATTCAGTTCCAGGCCGGAGTCCATCAATAACAGCAGAGTCAGCATCTCCTCTCAGAACAATAGGTAGCTCTCTCTCACCCTCCTCTGAACTCGCATACAAGATTCTATAAGATGTTACTGTTCCCTCAGGACTGTCCCACGTGATTCGCAAGGAAGTGGAGTCGATGTCAGAGAAAGAAAGGTCCTTTGGATGATCAACGTCTAAAAAGGCAAGAGGTTTGAGTTGTTGCATTCCATCCATCCATCAATTTAGGCCAATTAAACATTTCCACAATCTTTCTGAAGAAATGTCAAACTCTTACTTGTTACAGTGTTCACCAATAGTGGGGCGCTCTCTCCTTCTAGTCCAAGAGTGGACACACTAAAAACGTATTCTGTAGTAGGCAGCAAGCCTGAAAAAGTGAACTCTGTCTGGTCTGGATAAGAGAATGAAAATAAAATTTTTTTTTCCAATATTTAGAAGAAATCAATCTTCCACACACTGAAAAATGCCTATGTTAAATCAACCTGAACACCATACCTGATTCTACCACTTGAGAGAAAGATTGTCCCTGTCCACTTATGGGGACCCCTGTCACTCTGTAGCCTTTGATTGGACCGTGAGCTGGGCTCCATCTCACTGTGGCGCTGTTGTCATTCACTTCCGTCACTTCCATTCCAGAAGGCGTGTCCACACCTGGGGAAGAAAAAAGTGGAGATAATAAGTCAAACCCAAAGCCAATTACAAAAACATATTTATGTTTCTATTTATTTGAATGTGTAAAGCGTTCATATTTGTACCTGTCCTATGCATGACGTAGATGGGAATGCTGGATGCAGGGCTGTCTCCTCTGCCAGTCACCGCGTAAACAGTGATGGTATAGTCAGTGCCAGGCTTCAAATTATCGATTGTAGCAGTGGACTGGGAGCCGGGTACAGTGAACTCCTTAGGGTTACTGTGACTTCCTGAGTTAAAAAAAAAAAAAATTATATATATACATATATATATAAATATAAGTGCACAATTTGTGCTACAGACAAAACAGTATAACAAAACGTAACCATTGATTCCTTAATTTAGGTAAATATAAGCGCTTATGGTCACCTGACTCTCCATGAGTGATCCTATAGTAGCGTACAGTGACTGGAGGAGGGGCCCAACGAACATTGATACTTGTGGGGGTTGACTCAAGCACTTCAAGGTCAGTAGGAGCATCAGAGACTGTGAGAAATATATGGAGTCACAGACAAAGATAAACACATTAAACCATTTTGGTGATATCAGAGAAAAATGTCTCATGCTGTAGTTCCTGTTTCCATACTTGTTTTCTGTGTCCCACTGAGAGGCAGACTCTCCTGCGTCCCGCTCACTGCATAAATGTTGATCAAGTACTCTGTGTCTGGAGTGAGGCTCGTCATAGTGAAGCGGTTCCTTGAAGGGGGCAGCCTCTCATCCTTGGTCCTTCCTCCACTAACCATCTGATAACGAATGCGGTAACCTGTGATTTGGCTCAGTGGAGGGAGCCAGTGCACAGTGAAGGAGTTGGTTACGATTTCAGAGAAACGAAGGCCAACTGGTGAATCCAATGCTGAAGACAGAACACAACATTTTAGCAAAACTTAAGAGTTTCATTTGATGTTTTAAGACAATAAAAGCTCACTGTACATCATCATCACCTGTTTTCCTGATGCCAACAATAGGCGAGCTCTCTCTCTGCTCATAGACACAAACTACGCTCACCAGATACTCAGTGTTGGGCAGCAAATCTGAGAACAGCAAGGGGAACCAAAATACAAATGTAAATTTCAGTGTGTCCACATGAATTATTGATGCTTGCAATAACTTACTCTTTAGCACCACCCTGTTAATCCTGACTCCTACACTGGTTTCTGTTAGTTCGTCATCCTCGTCAACTGGCTGATATCTGAATTATATCCAAAGCAACAACATGTAAGTGTTTTAAATCACCAATAGGTTTTCAAAATAACTTCATAAGAAAATAGTGAAATGTCTTTAAAGCTCGACATTATTTCTTCTCTTACCTAATGAGGTAACCGGTGATGTCATTGCCGTCTGGGGTGTGAGGGGGTTCCCATGTGACCTCCATGCTGTCAGGTCCAACTTTGCCAAAGCTCAAATCAGTGGGGGCTGGTACAGCTATGTGAGAAGAGATTGGATCAGAATGCATTAAAAAGCCATAAAACAGATTCTAAAAATTGGTTTGCCTGAAAAAGATAAGGAAATTTAAATTGCTTGTTGAAGTGTCATGAAAAAAGAACTAAAGACAAACACTTAAAGATTGAAACAATGCCATTTTTTTTTCTATTTAAAAGACAGTGGTCTGTTTTATTCTATGCCTAAAATGTTACAAAAATGACAAATAACAAAATGTAGTGATGAGAACTTCTTCTTTTTTTTTTTAAACAAAAATCAGATGGTCTGTGTTTACACAAAGAGATCGAGGTTTTTTAAATTGACAATAAAAGCATGCAATTAAATTTCATCAGCAATCCTTTTAAAGAGCTGTTTAATTTAGTTGCAAAGAGATAAATTCAATCGTTGTTTGAAAGTCACCCGCAGGCATCTCAAAATAAAACACGAATCTTTTTTCCCAGTTAGGTACAAAAAACGTACATGTTTGTTGAGTGAAAATGATTGGTTCGCTCTCGCCGCTTTCCGTGACGGTGGTCACACTGATGTCATAGTCGATGCCTGGCTCCAATCCGTAGACCGTGTAATTACCAGTGGTGGGATTGACCATGTCTTCAAAAATAGGGATGCTCTCGCCAGAAGCAGCCACCATGATCTTGTAACCTGTGACAACTGGGGTGCTGAGCGGTGACCAGCGGAGACTGATACTCGTGTCAGTCACGTTCCCAAAGCTGAGGTCGGTCAGCCGTGGCACCTCTGCATGGGTGGGAGGATGATTCGGGAGAGAAAGAGCGCAGAAACAAACAACACACCAAGGAAGACAAAGAGTTTGAATAAAAGCAAAGAAGAAAGAGCCCAAGAAGGACACATTAAGCTGAGTTATATAAACTACTTCCAACATTTTGCAGCTTTTAAACTGATGGAAGACCCAATGCAAGCTGATTTCTCCTCATGTATATGAATATCCTGTTGGGTTATTCAATAAAATAGTTTCATTGATCCTAATGCACACAGAAAAAAGGATCTGTGACACAAAATAGCTTAGCAGCTGTTATCTAATTAAAACAGAAATAGTATTGTTAAAAAGAATGTATAATATATGTGTTAAAGGTTAAAGCTGACGTGGTAATTTAAAATTGTGGCTGATACAATAAACATCAAACTTTTTTTTTTAGAAACTTCTAAAACACACCTGGGGTGATGACAGTTGAAACAGGAGTGCTTTCCATGTCATCCTTCACTGTGACAACACTGACATTGTACTCCACACCTGGACTGAGGTTTTCCAGGGTGCAGGAATTCTGCCCAGCATCTACGAACTCCTCCAAGCTGTTTCCTTGTTGCCCTTTGGTGGGAATGCACGTCACTTTGTAGCCTGTGATGTCTTCAAGAGACAGGAGTTAGGAGAGGCATTTAGAGATGTTAGATTTTGCTCATGCTTGATGGGATGGATTGTCTGAATTTCATACAAAGGGTTTTTTGTGTGTACCTTGTGTACCAGCTCCATTCCACTGAACTACAAGCTCACCGGTGCTTGGGTTGGACTCCAAGTTTAGATCAGTAGGAGGGGACAGTGCTAGAGTTCGGAGGAAAAAGATTTTTGTACTGTAATCAATAAAAAATGATGATAAATCACATATTAATGGTTTTATTTGATACATACGTGTGACCACATGTCGAGTGATTGGGGTTCCTTGTTCTTGGCCATTGAAAACTGGCTGGACACTGTAGGTGTACTCTACTCCCGGAGTCAAACCGGAAATGTAAATGCTTCCAGATTCAGAGACGACATCTCTTACAGCTTCCCCACCCTGACTGGGCTGGACTGTCAGCTGCGAGACAAATGTAGTAACAGTCAGAAGGAGGAAAAGTCATAGGTTGGGAGTATGGGAGGTACAGGTCAGAGGTCTGTGCTTTCCCAAGAACATTGAAGCCAAATGAACGTTCTCGTCCCTGGAGAGACATGTTCTGACCAATCGGATGCATCTCTCAGGCCTTGAGAACTCCTACTGGGCTGCTTTAAAGAAAACTCACAGAGCAACTAATTACCAGAATATGCTTTTCATAGAGAAGTAAGAAAATGAGTTAATTTAAGACGATCACAAAATCCAGTAGTTCCTTTTTTGAAAAAGTAATTCAAAACATGATTCAAATAGAAAATATATACAATCGAATATTTGATGGTGCATGCATCAGCAGTGAACACACCTTGTATCCAATATAGGGAACTGGAGTCCAGGAGATTATTATGGAGGTATCAGTCACATCGGTGTTGAATTGAGGAGCATTACCCATTGATGGTTCTAAAAAAACAGAATCAAGTTATATTCCTATGAAATTTAATTTACTAGCACACAGGAAAACACGACCTAGCCTGAATGGCATAATGTTGTTTGCATGCCCACAATCACATCTTTATTCATTCAACTAGTTGAAGCATTACAATTGATATAATGCCTTTTAATTCATTTCCTATCTGATTTGGTGTGACCCCAAAGTTAAGCAGCCCATGTTAGGCCAATGCAAAGTTACCAATATTTTTTTTTTATTTTTAGGTTTTTATTAATGTTTATACACTCACCTGTGGTGAACTCAGCAGTCTCTCCTTCACTCAGTGTATTGTCTTGCTCCGAGTGCAGTGTGACTGTATAATCTGTATCAGGCTGCAGGTTCAGGAGAGTGTACTGGGTGAGGTGTGCAGGCAGGCGCAGCTGTATGGGGTTTGAGCCTTCTACATTAAGGAAGAGACGATAGCCGGTAATTTTGGCACGGGGTGCAAACCACTGCACTACCACACTGTCTTCAGTCACATCGGCAAAATGGATGTCTGTGGGGGCATCTGGCTCTAAAGAAAAAAATAAGTATTGGATTTATAACAGTGGAATTGCATTTTGGAGAACATTCTATTTTGGAGAATATTCTATACCATTTGCTTTGTACAAGTTGTGTCTGTTTTTAAATAAATATTGATAAATGTCATCTGTAAAGATTGAAGCTCTTAAATGTTTATAGTCTCATCAGTCATGTAAGATCAGCAATCGTTTCAGTGTTTCTTTAATTACACATGTGTTAAGCTGAAGACAAAGCAAAACAGAATAGACTACAACATTGTGCACCACTTGTCACTAATCCCCAATGGTTGGTTTTGTGAAGACCATTCAGTACAAAGAACTGTCCAAATCTGAAAGCTGTCTTTAAATGAGGCTGTTTATTATACTCACTTGTAGTTTGCTCTCCAATAAGAGGTAAACTCTCTTTTCCATTGTTAATGCTGTATACACTAAAGCGGTACAGCGTGCCAGGCTGTAAGTGTGTCACATCGATATATGAGTTCTGATCAACGGGCAGAGTCATCTCATTTTGTGGAGACCCAGACTCATCAACGGAAGCCACTGTGACCCGGTAACCTGAGATGCCACCGGCAGGGTTGGACCAGGTCAAAACTATTTTCTTGTCGGACACTTCAAAGAACTGGAGGTCAGTTGGGGAAGCCACTTCATCTGTAGAAAGGTAGACAAAAACAGAAATGTGGTTTACATTTTACTCATTTTTTGTGCAGGTAATCCCCACTGGGATACAAGATCTATGTCGATATTTAGCCACATTATTAAAAACAAAACTGGGCTACACTGAGACAAAACTGATTTTATTTTTTTATTTTTTTTAAAAGAGTGATGGATTGTGATTGATTTAATGGTCAAAATTAAAATGCTTCCTCCAGGTCAGAGGTGAGTCTCTATCCTAAGGGAATAAAAATATTATGGCATGTTTCCCTGAATTAATTTGTATTATTAAAAAAACAAAAAACAAAATGGGTGAACATTTAAAATCATCAGATGTGCATCAGCCAAATTTGAAGTAGTACATTTGTCGGTCCAAAGATGAGATCACAGTCTGTTAACTAGGTCATGCAAATTTAATCCATCTTCCAAACTGTACGAGCAAGCATTTACAAAGCTCTCAAGCATCTGGCCCAAACAAATGTTCAACTTGGCAGACAAAGAATAAAAACTCAACAGCTGTGAACTCACTGACTTTGCATTGGAAAAGTTTTCCTATTTTTTACAATACTGTAAACTTTGAAAAATAAATAACTTAAAGGCCGCCCTGACTTGCAAATTATTATTATTTATTATTATTATTATTATTATTATTATTATTATTATTATTATTATTATTATTATTATTATACCTTTATTTATGCAGGTTAGTTCCAATTGAATAATAATAAAGCATTTTATTGGTTAGCACCTTTCAAGACACCCAAGGACACTTCACAACATTAAAAACACAAAATAAAACTTTACAGAATGGCTATAAAAACACTAAACCAAGAAGAAAATAACAAGAAATTAAAGTGAGAAGGCTAACTTGAACAGATGAGTTTTGAGTTGTGATTTGAAGGTCAGAAGGGAGTCAATATTACAGATGTCCAGGGGAAGAGCGTTTCAGAGTTGGGGAGCAGAGTGAGAAAAAGCTCTGTATCCCATGATGCTGAGGCGGACGAGAGGCATGTTGAGGTGGATAGAAGAGGAAGAATGTAGGGAGCGTGAATGGGTGATAATGTGCAGGAGATCGGATAGATAGGGAGGACCGAAGTTATGGATGGCCTTGAATGTGTACAACAGGATTTTAAATTGAATTCTGAATGTGACTGGAAGCCACTGAAGTTGCTGTAAAACTGGGGTGATGTGATGAAACGAGGGAGTTTTGGTAACAATGCGGGCAGCTGAATTTTGAACCATTTGAAGCTTACGGAGTAATTTGTGCGGCAGACCAAAGAGGAGAGCGTTACAGTAATCGATTCAAAAAATGACCAAACTATGGACCAGGATGGAAGCAGAGTGCAGAGAGAGGGATAGATGGAGACGGTTGATGTTTCGAAGGTGGAAGTATGCAGACTGGGTAATATTATTGATGTGAGAGTGAAAAGAGAGAGTGGTGTCAAGAACGACACCCAGACTCTTGACGTCAGGGGAGGGAGAAACCAAGGAGCCATCAATGGTGAGGGAAAAACCGTTGAGTTTAGATATGGTGGATTTAGTGCCAATGAGTATAAACTCTGTTTTATCACTGTTTAATTTAAGGAAGTTAGACGTAAACCAGGATTTAATTTCAGCTAAGCAGGAAGTGAGGGAGGAAGGAGGAAGTGAAGAATTAGGTGCAGTGGATAAGGAGAGCTGGGTGTCGTCGGCAAAACAATGGAAGTGAATGTTATATTTACGGAAGATATTGCCAAGGGGGGAGAAGGTAGATGATGAAAAGAAGTGGCCCCAGGATAGAGCCTTGGGTCACACTTGAAGTCACAGGGGAGGAGTAGGATCTGAATAGTTTAAGTTGGATGAACTGTGTGCGGCCAGAGAAATACGACTGAAACCAAGCGAGGGGTATCCTGATGCATTCTCAATAATCCAGGTAGAAAAATAAAAAAAGAAGTTAAGTGTGGTCCTCTGGACATTCAAAAAGCAAAACGAGGGGTGTATGGGTGATTTCAATGGATGAAAGTCTGCGGAGAAGGACTCATTTAGAAGAGCTCAGATAAGTTTAAGAAGGCTCATTTTGAATGTAATTCATAATTTGGTTAAATATTTTTTCTTGACCTTGTTCTATTTGACCTACAACTGTAAAAAAAAAAAAAACTCACATGTAAGCACACAAGCTTAGTCATTTCAACCACTTGGTTTAATGATAATGCTGCTTTTGGTGGCGTACAGTGCTTATATACCTGGAATGGGATGTCCGGTGGTATTGACTTGTACAAAGATTGGTTCACTCTCCAGGTTCTCTTCCACAGCAAAGATGCTAATGTTGTAGGACATCCCAGGAAGAAGATCGCTTAGAGTCACAGAAGTTGCCGTATTGGGGAGAGTCAGCTCCATACTTTCACCCTCCTCTGAAGGTGCATAGACAACACGGTATCCTGCACAAAGAGGTAAAAATATGGACTGCACAAAACAGAAGACGTAGTAAACTAGAGCTGTGACTGATCGAGATGGTTCTAACATACCAGTGATGGGAGCAAGTGGTTTGTCCCAGCTGATGAGAATAGAGGTATCTCCAACCTCCTCCACTTCATGTTCCTTGGGAGCATCAGGTGCTGTTGAAGAAATGAGGTGCAAATATGGAAAATAAAATGTTTCAGCCAAAAGCTATAGTAGATTGAGGCTTTCAATCTAGTTACAATATTTTAGGGCCTTGAAGATGAAACCAAAAACTGCCTGATAAGGAACAATGAACATAAAATATGAACATGTGGATGTATTAGTCTTTTCTGTGTTCATTCATACTCATCTGCTCACACAGACACACGTTCGTGCTGCTGTTCGGCGTATTGTTTTTGTACCACTAGCGCTTAGCGTATTTTTTGTTAAACATTGTTCTTAGTTCATATCTTAGATCTTATTACTGGTTTTCTTTACAATTTATACTTTTGTTGGATGTAGCTGGGACTCTGTGTACATAATTTTGTTCCACCACATGTACCACATGTGGTGCGTATGACAAATAAAGAAACTCACCGGTTGTTTGTGAAGTAGTGAGAATTAAGTTGTCTCCTTCTCCATCTGTAACCTCATAAACATTCACTGTGTACTTCCTTCCAGGCAGAAGCTCATTAATGTTCACTGAGGTAGTTGTACGAGGCAAATCTGAGAAAAGGAAAATAATTGCATGGCAACAGATTGGAAAATATAGTACTGCTGACAACTCGGCACAAAACAAACTGCACATTGACTTAATTAACTGCACTTACCTAAAACGATGGGCTCCCTAGGTCCCTGTCCCTGCTCAATGAGCTCATACTCTACTCTGAAACCAGAAACGGTGTCGGAGGCAGAAACCCAGGAGATGACAAAGCTGTTGGAAGTGATTTCTGTCACAGATTCTGAGATGTCAATCAAAGGTGGAGGTGGGGTGATCTCGCCATGTGACGTAGCCACTACGAAGGGATAAGAAAGATAGAGCATGCATCAGGATAAGAAAGATAGCAATGGATTTTTTTCTATCAAAAGAACAAGGTTTTGCAAGGTTCAAGAATTTTTCCAGGCCTAGGACTTCAGTATCATGTCATATTTTGCACAACAGATTCAGTTAAATATAAACAGGAAAAACAGAGACAGCGTAGCGTTGAACGTCATGACTGTATCCAAATAAAAGTGAAGAACCAGAAAAACATTTGAGCAACTCAATCGAAACCGAGATCAACTCACATGATCCATACGTTGTAGTGAAGTCGAAGCTTGTGGTCTCTTTTTGTCCGAACCCAAGCACACTAATGAGCTGGCCTTCATATGTTATCCCAGGTCTCAGACCGGAGATGGTGTAGGAGTTAAGATGGCCAGGAATGATCACCTCCATCCATGGGTTTAGTGTATCTTTCTAAGGTAGAATGTGGATAGTTTTCCTATTTAGTTTCCAAATGTTGTATAGATTGCTTAAAAAAAACTGATCTGATGGACTAACAGAGCTCTTCTCCTGATTTGTTTGTGCAATCAGAACTCACCACTCTCCATTTGAGGATGTATTGGGTTATGTGAGTAGATGACGGGGTGTTCCACTGAATGGGATGGGTGTTTTGCTGGCCTCCAGCTTCTGTTATAACCACATGAACAGGACGATAACCACCTGTGAGATAAAGAGTGCACAGACAAGTGTCAGGAGAACGCCTCCACATCTAAAAATCACATTCATGATAAATATAATGGTTGAATTTCAAGATGCCTGATGAATGCTGAACAGCAAATCTCAATCACATTATGTAACTCTTAAGAGTGTCAGTGTGCAGCTGTGTTTTCCTGATCAGAACACAGGGAGAGTGGGAAAACCTAACAGGTTTCTGCGAGATTCCAGCACAGATTTCCATTCCTAGATGGGAGAAAACTTCTGCATGTCTTGTTATTCTTCACCAAGCATTGAAATGTCTTTAAAAAGCAGTTTGAAGGTGGATTTATGTATAACAGATCAGATGCAGAGAAAAAAAAGCTACATTTTATAAGTCCATCAGGCACAAAATACATATTCTTATATCAAATCTCAGTTATGGAAGTCTTCCAGCAACTTTTATCTCACTCTTCCTGGCTTTTATTACTGGATTCAAACAGATGTTCAGGAATGCCAGAGTGGAAAGCATGGGTGGGGGAAGGGGGCAAATATCTAAACATCTTACTGTCAATGTAATTCTGCAACATTAGGGAACACATAAACATGTCAGAAAAAATAAAGTGTTGCACAAAAGATCAAGTTACACTCAGGATAAGTGTGAGAAAACATAAAAATAACAATGTTATTGAAGTTGACAAGGACGTTTCCTTGCCTTCATTGCCTAATTTAAATCCCCAGTTCCCCCTAAACTGTGGTAAACAACAGTTAACATTTTTCCATTCAGGAGATTCTGCAGAAAACCTACATTTGAAAGCTCAATAAATAGATGTGGGTGTGCAATATAAAACATGGCTGCACAAGCCTATGGGTTTAAAAAGCTTAGTAGGTTAGCTAGTATAAGAAATTAGATGTGAGATGAACAGTCATTTCAAATATTCTGGCATTTGTAATGTTGTTAAGTTATTCTAAAAGATTTCAAGTCCTCTTTAATGCAAACAGAAGTCATGTGGTGACCAGACATGCTGATAAAAACCGATAGCTTTTATAAAGAACTGAGGTTTTCTAACCATTTTTCCAAATGGCAGACCTGTAATCAAAGTTTCTGAGCAAGTGGCTCGGTTAACCAGAAGCTGCAAGCAAATGCAAAACCTCAAAAACAATCTGGGACCAATTATTGCCTATTACAGGCCCACAGGCCACTGGTGAGGGTAAGGGTTATGGAGAATCATATGGGGGACAGACATGAAAACAGATGCACACTTGCAGCGTGGAGCTACATCTTAAGGCACACGATTTCCCAGCGTTACTCACATGGATCTGTGTAATGCACAAGAATTCATGCATGCATGCACACCATCAACCTGTACTTTTTAAAAAGTGGTTGTTGTGTCTATGTTTGCTTTCAGACCGATGCACAACTCGGTGGTGATAAGCACAGACTAAAAGGAGGTAATAGCATAAATCACTCTAACAATAAGAATGACCCAAAAGATTAAACACCACACGCAGAGATATGCACAGATAACAGACAAGAAAGCATTCTTTAAAAAGATTTTATCAATGTTTTGGCTCAATTAGACGCTTGTGAAAACTTGCCTAGAAAAATAAAAATAAAAAACTCTTAAACTTTGGTTTTCTTTTCAACCTTTTATGGTGCTTTACAGAGTTAGCCAACTGACTTAAGGTCTGGAAACCTTGCTGCCCTAAATCTAAGTATGCTGTATTTTATAAAGCAGAGCATGACACACACACATACACATATGCACACGCATACACACACAGATCACATTCACAGATGGTTGCCATTACAGCCACTTACAACAGAGTAGTGCCCTACATTTTGTATCTTCCGTCAACCTGCTTCAGCAAACGACTATCAGTTGAAATGTTCCACTTTTCGCAACCTGGATCTGGTTCTTGCACAACTTTACAACCTCACTTATATTTGTCATATTTATTTATGGTGTTGGAAATTCTATCCCTGAAAATACTAAATCTATACCACAAAAGCTCATCATTCATGAAAGGCATGAACAAAATAATTTTTTTCTCTTAAGGAATAACACACAAATCAACCTTGGGAAGCTGGAAATGGTAGAAACTTTAGGCTAAATTAAAAAAAGTAAGTAATGTTTGCAGTGATGCAATTTAGTCAAGAAAATGAGGTAATCTGACTGGCCGTATAACTTTGTTCTGAAGGCTGGCTACAAACTACAAAATCTGAAACATGAGCTTCATCTTTGATTGCTGACGTTCACAAATCTAAACTGCAGACGTTCTCGAGCTTTTTAGGTAATAGGTGTGTCAAATTTTTTATTTAATACCAAGTCATGAACTGTGGCGTTTAGTGCAGCTGTGACAACACAGATGAACCACATGCTGACAGGAACAAAGGATCTAAGTGTGTGTGTGTGTGTGTGGGGGGGGGGGGGGGGTTGAGCTTGTAAAATAAGGAAATCGCACCAGCTTTCATTCAAAGGCCTCATTTTCACAGTGATTTGCAGACATTTTTCAGAGGTGGAGCCCAGTTTGTGGAGTTCAGTGTGGAAAAGGGGTTATCCATAAGATTACAAGGATAAAAAGAAAGCACAAGGACAAACTGTGAATGGTGGGCATAAAAAGGTCAGGTGAGCTTGTGATCATATTTGTGCAGCGACTCACCATGTCTATCCCAACACCCCAACATGCAACCACTGGGTATACATGTTTTAAGCTGTTTTCATGCATGAAGACCAAAGACGCTCAGGAGAAAAAGTGGACTATAAAGTCTCCACTTTTTTTCGCAGTTGCATTTTGTGCATGTAATTCACAGCAGGAGCATTTTCTGGAAATTTAAACCAGAAGGTGGGACACACAAGACAGGATGGAGTGAGAAAGGTATAGCATGAGAATGAATGTGTTTGCTTTAGTGTTGAACTTCAAATCTTTTGGACATTTAACTAGAAGGGGTTAGTAGAAATTATCTACAAAAATTCTAGGTCTGAAGCTACAGATATTTGAAAATATAAGATAAGATAAGCTCTATCTTATCTTATATTTGCATTCCCTCATGCCTCAAGCCCAAACCGAATGCTTGAAATGTACAATATTGTTTAATAGATTATTTAAAATATAAACATCTTACCTGGGTATGACCGCTGGGGCTGACATTTATGCTCTCCAATACCGTTGCCCAAGCAGTAGCATTTGTACGGGATTCCATGCAGGACTTGTTCCCAAGACTCCCCAATCTGATAGAAAACCTTCGTCTGTGGGTCCTCGCACTGGTCTGAATTTTTGAACATCCAAGGAAATATTAGAGACATTCAACTATAAATGTGATGCATGAAATATGATTTGCTATGGTATTTGTTGTATTTATTGAACTAAATAAATGAAAACAAGTTTAAAAAAAGGTTGAATGAAAAATAAATAAACAAAGACACCATGTTGTTTAAATTACAATCAAACACACATAATGATTAATCTAATCAACAACTGCAAAAAATATGTAAATTTACCTGTAAAGGCAAAGTCTGGTTATTTTTGAAATTATGTTCTGTCTAGTTATTAATAGTTAGTACTTTCTCATAAAGAAAAAAGTAGAAGTTTGTCCAGACTAATTTAATGGGTAGTCAAACTTTTAAAACACTTCTCTAACAAAAACAATATGTGGTGTGAAAGAATGCGACATTAACAAATATTAAAGCTTGACACTTTCAAATGACACCATTTGTTTGTCGCCATTTCCTCAAATGAACAACACCAGTGTCACTACAGTAATAAGTGTGCTGACCTTGTTGCTCATCAAAAAGTCTTTGAATATTATCTAGTAGAATTTTTTAAACTCTATACTCTATACATGAATTGTTCAGTCCTGTTTGTTTTTATCTTTAAACTATAATGGTTTTAGATTTAAGAACAGGCTAATGGTATGTTCATGGTACCCAGCATGAATAAATATTCTTACATATCACTTTTGTACTGTGCATAATGAACATATGATTGATTGATTGATGATTTTATTGATATTACCCCAGTAAATTAGATAAGGTACCATATTTGCTGTCGTATAAGTTGCACCTTTTTGCATAAATTTGCAAGTCCTGCGACTTATATGGCAAAGCGACAAATATATGTTTTTTTTCTCCCCATATTTATAACCCAATTTTTGGCTGAGATCTGATAATTTCATTCATTCTGACATGGAAAATATTGAACACTACCATTTTCAGCCACTAGAGGGCCGTTGACTAATATGGCAAGCCAAGTGTCTCATTAATAGGTAAAAGTGGCTATTAATGCGACACTTGGCTTGCCATACAGAGCCACCTTCATCTCGGTCCAGAACTCCTGGCGTAAAGGTCAAATCAGTTGCATTTTGCTGCGCCGTCCAGGTGAAATGCAGCTGCTTTGACGATTAAAGTGAATTTATTAAAGATAAGTTCAACTGAGACACACCTTTAAAATAATGTTGAGCAAACAAAAAATTGTTTTTAGGTGGTTATCTTGTTAAATTTTGACAAACTGCACAGCGAGTCCTCCCTCTGCGCGCTCCAGCAGCCGCAAATCTCTTTTTGAAATGCAGCCGGTTTGACCAATATAATGCATTTATTAAGGAAAAGTTTAACCGAGACACACCTTTGCTATAATTTCAAGCAAACATATAATTGTTTTTAAGTGTTAATCTTGTTAAATTCTTGTTAAAGTCCTCCCGTGCACGCTCCCGCGGCCTCCATTTGGCAGCTAATCAATTTTTGGCACACCAGCCCACGTTTCTGGGTGGTCAGCGGTGACACATAAAAGATGCGACGTATACGGCGAAGCAACATATTTATGTTTTTTTTTACACAATATTAGACATATTTGGACTGATGTGACTTATACGGTGGTGCGACGTGTACGGCGACAAGTACACTAAAATAAGTGAACAACACAAAATATGCAATGTTATTTTCCCTAACACCCCAGTGCTTCTTGCTACCCAATAATGTATTTGTATACACTTTTTCTACAGTAATTTGATTTATGGTTGCATTCACATTTGTAGTTATTTGTCGATTGACAAAGAGCATTCATTTGGTATTATTTATAGTTTATATAAATCAAACCAATTTAAGATTAACCATTTATGTTGTAACTAACATCAAAACGACAGCAAAGTCCAAACCGTTCAACCAAAAAACAGCACTGAGTAGAAATATGTAAGAATTTGAAGAATCTGTAAAAATCTGTGACGTGATAAACCCACCTATGGGATCACAATTCCATCGACCGCGGCCCAGTCCAAAGCAGGTGCAGTTCATGATATATCCCAGTTCATGTTTCTTAGTGAAGGTTTGGTTAGCCTCATAGGTCACAGCGTCCACGAGACAACGATCTATCACAGAAACTGACACACAAACAGATAAAGCATGAGCAGACACAAACTACCAACATGTTTCTGATTATATGTATTTTTGAACACTGCACAGTTGAACTACTCAATGTTGGTGCAGCTAAGGTCAAGCAAAGGCTCACTTGATGTTTTGGGAGGTGAGCCCTTCTATCAAACATGACCTTTAATGTTTAACAAACTTTAATTTTAGTGGCTAATCAGAATATTCCAAATCTAATCTGTTGCTGACATACCTTGAAGCTGCGAGTGAGCAACACAGTTCCATTCTCCTCGTCCGTTACCTATGCAGGTACACCGCATCATTTCACCCAAAACATCATGCCGCTTGTCCCACTGGTCACCTATGCGGTACATCAGCCCTTCGCTTGGTGTGCACACTTCTTCATTAGCTAGAGTACACAAACACACAGAAAAAAAAAAAAAAATGCATGGACATGGATTTGCTGAATAGTGATTTTTTTTTTTTTTCTCCAAATATCTGGGTGTAAGGAGCAACACGGGTCACTAATGCACAACCATATCACCCATTCTGTATAAACGAACATTACACTAATTTCATTGTACAACTAGCACAAATTCTACACTTTATAAAAAGTTAAAGCCAGCCGCCTTGTGTTTTTGAATGACCATGTGTGTGTTTGCCACACGCTCCCAGTTAATTAAAATGGAGTATCAGAGCTGCAGAAGTGGTCACAACAAGCAGAAACCTGCCTTTAGGTGTACATCAGAGTTATGGAAAGAAAGTGTGTGTCATGCTGGTTTTATTCCAGTTCAGATTTTCACCATTTCTGGATTCAAATTTAAAGGAAACCATACTCTAGCAGAACTTACAATGAGCTCTGGACACCACAACAAGGCATTTATTATTGAAACCCACCAGTCGCTCACATGTAAAGTGCCTCATGTCTCACTGCTCCAAGGTACAAACAAGCAAAATCAAATCACTCAAAAATAACTCACGTTGCTGTCTGAAGCAGGATGTCTTATGAGGACAGGAGCCTTTATAGTTTTATGAAGTACCAGTAAACTAATTGAAGTCCTTTAAGAAGGTGAACATTATTCATTTTAGTTGGTTTGGTAATTGAATCTCTCTGTACAAAAAGCAAATAGCAGCTGGACGGAAGTGTGTGAAAAACAAGCACCGTGTTTTTCAGACTATAAAACGCACCGGATCATAAGGCGCAATATCAATAAACGGGTCTGTTTTCATACGTAAAACGCACTGGATTATAAAACGCACCGGATTATAAAGTGCATTTAGCGAAACAAAACAGTCAAATAAGTCAAACTTTATTCAACTCATTCACAATAACCATATACAATTGGTTCGAGGTCGGTAAGCACAACCAGAATTAATACATAAGACCCACTGGACTATAAGGCTCACTGTTGAGTTTTAAGACAATTAAAGTTAGTTATTTCAGAAATAGTTTGGTTGCAGCTAAATAAATTTACTTATTAGAATGACAGCAGCAGTAATATGAAAAGCCTTTTAACGTGTGCCTTATAATCTTAATGGATTCTTCAGCATTAAGGTCATTAAATCACTGGTTTAAACAGAATCATCTTTACTGCTAAATACGTTTACACAATGAGAGAATCTATTGTTTTGTGCAACACTGCTGACTCCCAACGTAAAAGCCTTTCTGGCTCTTACTCTTGTGTTGGCGATAAACAGCTCTCTAATGCAAAACAGCTTGAATCTCAAGTGAGAAACCTGAGACGTAGAGATCTTGAATTTATCAGAACTTCAGTTTTGCAATCAGTATTTAAACGATGGTAGTGGACCTTAGAATGTGAATGTTTAAGATTGCAAATTGAAACAGTCCTAAATGTTGAGTCAATCCCAGAGACAGCTGTTTGACATCCCAGAGGTGCATAACAAACAGCTTTTGAAGAAGATTGCAAGAGGAGGCGGAAGTGGAGAAAGCATTAGCTCCATGTCTGATTGAACAGAACCATTAACGTCCCAACGTTCGTGTTTGTTTTGAGTCATGCCTGTGAAGCAGTTAACGTCACCACAGGACAGCGCTGACCTCAAACAAACACCTCTGTTTAAACACCTTGACAATGGCCGCGGTGTTTAAACAGCCCGTCTCCCAAAACAGTGTAAAATTTGGCACGGCAATTTTAACGACTGAACGTCAGCCAATAGGTGGTCTGAGGAGTGGAATAATCAAAAGCATTTTATTTGTTGGGGAAATTCACATTAAATAGCATAATTACTTGAATTATGTGCAAACTGCAAAATGCATGGCTACATGTTGATCCACTTTTGTTCCACATATGATCAAACAATTTAAAACCAAGTGGAAGGTTGAAGGTAAGTTTTCAGATAAAGAAGGGGGAAAACAACATTACGTAAAGCTGCTGCACAGAGTTACTTACCAGACATGGGACAGAACCCATAAAGTTGCTCCACATCATAGTTGGTTGTGGTGCCACACCACTTCATGCCATCCCTCCGTCCATCTGAAGTGCAGTCGGTGTAGTTTCGGCCATTGTAGAGGAATGGGAACTGACACAAAGCTCCATTAGAATTGCCACCTCGTGTCACCAGAACCCCTGTTGAAACAAGTACAACAATAACTGTGGGCATCATTAAACTCCCAAGTGTAGCTGTAATTTCAGATGATGCTAGTTTTCTGTGCACAAACATTTCAAAATTTGCAGCTACTTCGAAACTCGATGATCATAAAAAGCATAAGCAGTTACGTTCAATATCAATGTGGCAAACGGTCAAAAGCATCAGAGCCAGTGTGCATGGATGGGATTTAACATTCTTCCATGAGAGTTATATTTCATCTGTTTCCATCGGTGTCTTTATTTCAGAATTCCTTTTAAATTTACAACTTCAGTAGCACTGCCAGCTCACCGTATTTCTCAGTACAGAAGGAATATTTCTGGTCTTTATCGAAATCAGACGAAGTGGAACACCACAGCTGTCCATCACTGCGTCCATCCGAGGTACAAGAGTGATAGGTCTTTCCCTTGTGGACAAAAGGGAACACACAGGGAAGGGCTCCTGAGTTCCCACCATAAACTGGGGCTGGTCCGTCTGTATGGAGACATGAAAACCCAAAGTAAAATAATCATTCAGTCTCAAATATATTTTATTGGGATTTTAGTATCATTAAATGAAGCTCTATGGGATAAAATTCACTTTACACTAAGGCTGATGGTGGTGCTTGAGCAATATTATTTTTTTTAAGTCCCCAAGAACATAAAGAAAAAACTTCTCTCACCCCACTGATTGCAGCTTACTCCGTTGCCAAGGCAGGTACAGATCATTTGTTTGGTTCCCTGTTTCCTGAGCCAGCGCTGTCCATTGAAGTATGTCAGTCCTGTGTCAGTCTTACAAGTTAACTCCTGAGGAAACTCAGGAACAGTGACAGGGTGGTAGACAGCAGGCTGGATGTTGGCAATCACATGGGAACCAGTGCCTGAAACACAAGACAAATCAAATGTCTTATCAAACATGTCAAGGCTGGAATAAGGAAATACTTGCCTATAAATACTGAAAAAAGAAGTACCAGAGGCAAAAACTACCGCATGATGCAGTAAAAGAAGAGGCAAACAAAACAATATGTGACCCACTTAAATAAATAAAACAAAATAATCATATTTGAAGAGCCATTCTTAATATTTTAGAGTTTTCCCTCTTTCCTTGTTTGTAACATATTTATAACAAATAAGACACACTGCCTACAATTTCCTGTTGACTTTTCTTTTCTTATACATCTTTATCCCATTGTAAGCATAAACATATTGTCTGCATCAAAGTTCATGCTCAATGATCCAGGTAGAAAATCCAACAAATTTCAGTCAGGTCATCTGGATGGGTTCTTTTTTGTTATTGTCGTTGAGACGTTTCGTTCTTCATCCAAAGGACTTCATCAGTCCGAGGAGCCACAACAAACTGAGTCCCACAAGCAGCACACCCACACAGTGGACCAACCAGTTTGGTGGTGATAAGATGGCTTCTGAGACCCGCCCTCTCCCCTGTTGACTCCTCTGAGGCAGCCATAGCCAAAGTGGTTCAAAACATCAAAGTTCATGCTCTGATGGACTGATGAAGTCCTTTGGATGAAGGACGAAACGTCTCAACAAAACAAACTGTCCAGATAACCTGACTGAACTTTGTTGCATAATGTCAGCAGTTTAAGTGGTATAGCATGACTTTAAAAGAATAAAACATTTTTGTCCAGGTAAACCAGACTGGGCTAATTTTTAGAGAATGGTCTGAAAGAGACTGGAGCAAAAGACAGTTTTTGAGAGAACGTCATGAGAGGTGCTTAGCAAAGTGCAGAATTAAATAAATTGTGCAATTTTGTTCATTAATGCATATGAAAATGAACCAAAATAAATGTATAAACATATAAATTACAGCTGCAGTAAAGGTCTATTCCAAAGTGTTTCAATCCATAATATCAAATAAAATGCTGCATCTAATGTGCCTTTTACCAACTTTAAGTCAAAATGAGCACATTTTATGTGTCACGCCCAATAATCACTTTAATCACTGCACATTTTTCTTACTAACTCTCTCATGTGCACTTCTCCCCCATCACTCCCTTGTTCCCACACACCATGCCCGTCTCCCCATCCCATGGGGTCATGATCATAAACTACAAGACATGTCTTTCTCACTTCATCACTTGGACACTTTTTATCTCCCCCTCCTCATAACATCTGTCTTTGGCATGACATTCTTCTTGATACAGAGGGTGAGAGGGATTTTATCAGTCCTCACCCTGGCTGGAGGTGTGAAGTGAGACTTTTCTTTCACAGCTCCACTCTCCTCGGCCATTCCCCACGCACAGACACTGAAGCCAGCGGCCTTGGGCATCTGTCTTGGACCATGTGTCGCCAATACGATATGCGGTCAGAGTATCTTTGTCATTACAGTAATCTAGGAGGAAAAGAAAACAGAGCAAAAATGAAATGAAAGGAAACTGTAAGCCTACAACTGTTGTACATCTTAGGATCAAAAAATTGGTGAAGACTAAAAAGAAGGTTCATCTGGAAATGTTTGCAGCTACTCAGTGGGGAGTGATCCCTGCTGGCCACCAGCTGTTTCCATGTTTGAATCTCAAAACATGGCTGATAACTTGTGTGTATGGAGGAATGAGCGATGACCTGCAGTAAATAAAAAGGCCACCCCAAAGTATCGCATGCAACAAGTTAATGAGCAACAACTTCAATCATTATCTGATACATCAAAGAGCATACATGTGGACACATGTCATGCTTTAAATTACACAAACAGCTGGTAAATATTTTCAGCACAGCTTGTTGAAAACCTTCAACTATCACAGCTGTAATGTGAGAATACAGTAAAGTATCTGGCACAGTTTGATGATCCAGAAACTGTTGGATTTGAGTTGAAATTAATTAGATTTTCTGCTCTGACTTTCACTGAGTTGGTTTTCAGGTTTAATAGATACTAAAGATACATTTAGATAACTTATGAAGACATGTATGAGAATATCAATGCGGCTACTTCCTGAAAATGTATCCTTAAGAACTAGACTTCTGTTTGTCGTAATCTAAGCTACAAAATATTAACATTTATTGAATAAATTATATGAGATGTGTAAAAAGAGACAATAAGAAATGTGTTTAGGATGTTGGTAGTGTAGTATGTCATATCCTGAGATATATTCATACATTAAACGGGTTCACTCATCTTTCTGGACTGTGTGATGTTCGTGCGTTGAATTCAACAGAAATGTGGACGTGAGACGTTAATTATCTTTGACTCACCAAGCGAGTGGGTCATTTATTAACAGAATCAAGTTTAACACATCACACATTTACATTAATTTGGCAGAATATGAAAACAACAACATAATCAGCTTTACAGGAAGTGAGAACAATACGGCGATTGTTTTCACTTTTCAGCAGAACAGCAGACATCAATTCACACGGCGGTGATTGATTTTCTAGCAGAAAGGAGAGTTTAAAGATGGAAAATTAAGATTTATCTTACAGAGAGATGTGTGAGGGAATTTATCTGTTTTAACCAGAACGTGCACGCTCCTTCGGAACTCAGCTTGTCCCAAACAGTACACTTTCGGTGAAGGTCGACTTTTACCTTTCCTGAAGATAGATCAGTTCCGGCGTGGAGTCTTACTTCCAACCACTGTTCGGCGTCTCAGTGAGAACAGCCAAATACCTAGAGAGCCGTGTGAGGTTATCCAAACAGAAGTTATAATTCCCAAAATCGTCTCTGGTTCAGCTTGTTTGGTTTAGCAGCATCCATGAATGCCTGCGGTTGCATTCACGGACTCCCAAACTCCCTGCACTCTGGATTCCACAACTCTTGAACTCCCAACTGGAACTCTCCTCAACTCAACTCTTTGAACTGGGAAGTTGCCACATTTAAATGGGCTATACTTCCGGTTCATTTGAGAGCTTTTTGATTGGTGGATGGACCAGAACAGAGGTGTGGTTTGTGATGTAAGGTGTTATGGAAAGTCAAGGATAGAGATTAAGATTGTTTAAGAACAGACAGAAAGATTGTTGGAGAAAACCAGTCTTAGTGGCGTCTCTACTCCTAGTATCTGCTGTGAAAGTTAAACATGACATTTCTTTTCAGTAAACTTCTTAGTTGACCGAAACCTGAACTCTAACACACTTACAAACTTTGCTCACTTTCAAAGCAGACGATCAAGAAATTGAATCATTACTCTGTAACGTACTCTAACTTGATTTCACTTTGAATTGAGGAATAAAAATCATTACTACTGTTTAAGTAGATAAAAATGAGTAGTTCACCTCAACATGTAAACATTGTTTGAACTAACACAATTTGATTATCAAAACATTTGTAAAATAGTAATGATCATAGAGAATTGTCTTTTTCCACTTGATTAATTCAAGAAAGAAAGTCTCAGGATCGATCAACCTGTATTTCTGGATGCAGATCAATGAAATGACAGTTTCTGACCATATGATCCTAAGGTCATTGATTTGACATCAGGTCAAGTTCACTACAGTAGTGACTCATTAGGGTCAGCATGGTAAGTGCAAATCTATATGTTTCACATCCTTACAGTACTCCTAATCAGACAGGCAGACAGAAACACAGAGTAGAATGTAAATGTCAGACTACGGATGCCTGATATTATCAGCATGGTATTGGCCGATATTAGCAATAAAGTTAAATATCGGACATAGGCAGTTCCATCAAAATAACTCAATGATATTTTGTGTATGACTGTTCGAGTGTTGTCATTGTGTTAAGAGTAAATGTCATGAATAAATTTGACATTAAACATAATCCAAGTTGAAGTGTTACATCATTTCAGCCCCCTTTTTGACATCTGTATTTGGTAGCATGCCAAACTGACAAAGACCATGCAGAATAATGTAGTATTTTAATTCTACAGCAGCGAAAGCTATGTAGTCTCAGTAAGCAGGTCTAGGGAAAAAATATCGGTATTGGTATTGGTTATCAACCAAATAAGTGTTAACATATTGGCATATCGGATGTCGGCCACAAATTCAATATTGTGCATCCCTACTTGAGGCAAACTGTCATTTGGCAAAAATTGTAAGATGTATATTAAAAAAAAACATGAATTGTAAATGGCAGAAGCATTTTTACAAACCTGCAGGACAAGTAGCAAACTAAAAATCCTGATCCAAATGGAAAAAGAACATTTGAAAACAAATATTGGTGCTCCGATGCTTTCGCACTGGCATTCTTTACAAAATGTGTATCTTAAAAGATTTATCAGACCGACAATTGACGTGCTGTGGCATAAGATAAATAAATAAAAATAGAGTTATAACGTAAAAAAAGCGTCTTACTTTTTGAAGTACATTTGATGTGTCCAGTCCCCTCTCCTCGACAGGTGCACTCCACCATCATCCACCCCTCATACTTCCTCTCCCATGTCTCCCCAACTTTATAAGAGACTCCAACGGAATTGTCATAGCAACTCTCAGCTGCAACACACAGACTCAGATACTTACTAAAACACTTTTTACGTTGCCCGTAGATCAAAACTCCATCACAAAAATAATGCTTGGAACAGGTTGATAGGAATAAAATAAAATAAAAAATATTTTTGGATCAAATATTCCCACATTTATTACAGGGCTTTAGTCAGCTGTCTGACTCACCAACAGGCTTGCAGGTCCATTCTCCTTTGCCATTTCCCAAGCAGACACACTCCAACATGGAGTCTCCTGCTTCATTTGGTCTCCTCCAGGTGTCTCCGATCTTATGTGAAACCTCACCATCATGACAGCGATCTGATGTAAAGCAAAGAGAGTAATAGATTTTCTGCAAGTGTGTGAACGTAAAAGAACGTTGACAGTTTTCATCATTATCTAACCCTCCAGATTACTATAAACCATATATGATAATCAGCTGAAGAGAATAGGGATTAGCTGCCATCAGTCTGACAGACATGGCCAAAACATGTAAAGAAAAATAAACCTCAAGCCGGGATGTGTGGTCTGAGGTTAGAGCATTAACAGCAAAGAGTAGCCCCCACCAAACTGGGAAGGTGTGTGTGAAACCACAGGCAAAAACAGAGTCCACACATACTGGCAATGGTGCAACTAATTTTGCTCCTCCCAGATCCGAGGCACGTGCAGTCCCAGATCATGCCTTCCCTGAATCTCTCAAAAGTTTCTCCCACAGTGTAGGACCGCAGTGTGAGCTCATCGTAACACTTTTCCTCTTCTGCAGAGACAAAAAAAAAGTAAATGTAAGGATTTTGGGAGAAATAAAAATGTTGTATTAGAATTGATGCAAAAATATGTATTTGGGGGGAAATAACAGCACACAAACTAACCATCAGGTTTACTTTTACACTTGATCCCAGCAACTCCGTGGCAGGTACAGATCAAAGTTTTGCCCCAAAATGGCCGCTCCCACTGGTCATTAACATTATAGAAGTGTCCATTCTCTAAACAACCATCTGAGCAGAGAAAAGGGGAAAAGATGAGACAGCTAAATGAGACAGAATTCAGATTGGAAAGATGAATGTATAGTTTTACTCCAACCACAACTCACCATAATCTGATTAAACAATAAACAAAACCCTTTTTATGTCAAAATAATTCAAGCCTAATTTAAACATTCAAGTAAACTTTATCCATGTCTGGTAA